AACACCTGACTTGCTCAAAGAGGAGAACTCAATGGACCGAATTGAATGGATATCGTTGTCGAGCTTATACTTCGCTGAAGATCTTTTCTTAAATCGATAATTGTTCATATACAAACGAGACTTCGTGTACTTGCTCAATGTGGAAATGTAAACTTAAAGATTACGATACTTCGCGGGAAAATCCGGCGCGAGATTCGGTGGATAAACCGTTAACTCGATGGATGCATGATTCGTGTGATGATTGTGGGAATTCGATCGTAACTCGTTCGTCGTATTAAAGATAAAAGTTTATTATAAATCTATTATATAATTTACAACATATAAATATGTGAATGTATATATATAAAAGAGAACAAGTTAAAAAAAACAATTTATATATATACATATATGTGAGGTACATATATGACTATCAGTGTATATTATTCTACAAAAAAAGTACTAATGTTAGTCATTATTTTCTGATATTTATTCGTCGTTTGTATGTGAAGCACATAAAAGATGTCTGGTACATTGTCGAACAAATCGTCGTCACGATTAATTGTTGTCCAAGTTCACGCCCTTTCCAGTCCACCTCTCCTTCAGCTCTACCTTCAACCCTAGGTCTCTCAAAGCCGCGTTCACGTCGCTTTCGAGCTTAGAACCGTGTTGCTGAAGGGCACGGGTCAAGACGTCCTCTACACCATACGCAATAAACTCTTGACACTCTAACTTATTTCTCACGGACATGTTTCTGATGGCCCAAGCAGCTTGCTTCAAGACACTCACGCTTTTCGAGTAAGCTTTCATCAAATCTATGATTACAAGCGGCGCTCCGCAATCGTAAAACACACCAGCGTTTGAGGGACACCTCAATGTTAATGCGGAAATGCATGCAAGTCCAGCCGTGACTACACACTCAGAGTCCTATGGTACAATCAATGTTCAAACACTATAGAAGCCTGAATAACAACCAACAGTTTTCACAGAAAGCACTCATTCAAACAGGAAACTTACTTTCATCCTACTAATGACGGAAACAATTAACAGGCCACAGCCAGAGGTAATGATATTGGACTTGACATCATCGTTCCCAGCCAGAGCTTTTAATAATTTCAACGCCTGCCAGTTCAATTTCTCTGAGTCTGGATAGTCGACCATAACGTCTGTTACAAATTTAAGTCCTCCCGCATCCTCTACCTCCTGACAGAATTCGTTTCTCACTATTAAGGCAGCTAAAGTTATCATTACATCTCCTACAACCCCCTTGTCTTTTCTATACTCTATGCGCAAGAAAGATACTTATTAGAGAACTGCGTACAACTTAGTTTCATACATACAACATCAAAAGAAACTATGTACTTGACATCAACCCGGTCAGAACATTCAAGGCCCCTTTCGCAATTACACTTGCGTGTTCGTGAGCTTTTCCATATTCGTGCCTTATATCATCATCTAATACCAAAGCTCTAATCACTGCACAAGCATCCCTCAACTCAGATGCGCTTGCATCATCCCTCATCAATATCTTTTTGAGTTTATTGAAAATATCTGCGTTAAATATAGCTTGCCTATTAAGCTCGTGCTTTATACAACATTCTCTTATCCAATGTAAGACGCATTGCAGTGTTGGAATGTCTGTATTTCTATCTAGAATCCTAATGAATGAAACTATATATTATAGGAAGAAACCATGACTTATTGCCTTTAGTCAGATTTATTAATAGTTTCTTACTGTATTTGTAAAGCTATTCCTTCATCATTTAGCAGGTCTGGATTACCAGTCATCAATGAGGTAACTGTTTTCAATGCAGACCTCATTACTGTGTTATTGTTGGGGCAAGATTTCATTATTTTTATCAGAGTATTGTATCCTCCCTTCTTCCCTGCAAATACTCTACGGGCAATGTCTTTATCTAATTCTTTCCTTAATTTATCTAATGTGTGAGGAACATTATCGTATCTCTTATCACTTAAGGCTATGTTCAGTTGATTCAGATAACCAGCAATCAGATCAGTATCATCATTGAGAATTAAATCTTTAATGATGTTGCTCAAGTCTACACCCTATAAAAATAGAGCCGATGAAAGCAACTCTGGCACAGGGGATACTTATATAATGTGATCTAGATTATTTGAATTTTATTATTCTGTTCTACTGCAACTCCAAATGTATAATTAACACATTGTGAAACTATTTCTCATTCAGTCGAAATTATTATATTCATTAAAATAAGATTATTAAGTTATACATAATGTAAAACAGACAATAATTTTATGTTAGAAAAAGGTAAATTATCCTGAAAAAAGTGTGAGTCTGGTATTATAAATAGTGAAAGTATACCTGTCTTGACAGATGATTCATAACTTGTCAAAATGGAATTTCAAAAATGTATAGCAAATAAAGTGAGGAATGTTAATAACATTTTAGACAAGTAAATTGTATAGTACAATATGTTAATAATGAGACATGAAGTGTTACTTTTCAGTGACTTTTCAGTTCGAAGGAAGGACGTAAACAAATTGGAGTACCTGCGCTTCAAATTGTTTTACAGCGTCTTCTACAGCTTCTTTAGGAGACATAGCAAATTGCTCGATATTTTCATTAACAACTTCATTATAGGTTTCCTGGCTGATTACGCGAACCATGATAACTTTATTCCTTTGTTCACCGTGTCCTGAATCTCTATATTAGGAAATGAATGCTGTCTCGCGGGATCACGGTACGCCTCGTCCACGTGAGAACAAAAAGACAAATGTCAATTTGATCGCATGTTGCAGGACACCTAGCGGATGCTACGTGTAAACTGACGGGGACAAATCTAGGGACCCTATATTCCCTCACTACACTCAACCTTTGCCAAATATTCGCACTATTAAAATGTATATCCCCTTAATTTTAATAAAATTATCGTGAAACCACTGATTAGCGTCTTCACTTAATACCGTAAATTAAAAATTAAACAATAGTTCTCTAACTTAATCACTATGCGTTACTTTCAGATATAAGAGTGCTTGTTAGCGCGAGCGCCTGTTATTTATAAAATATATTAAATTACAAGAAGAGGCGACCTGTTAAAATGGTTAAATATAGAAGAAAATGAAAAGAAGATTCAGAATCTATTTTCAGGCATAGGTTTCTCATCCTGATAAAACGTAAGCAATGCTGAGTCGCAGCGCCCTCAGCTGCTTGGCCTGGCCTAACCGTGTTTGTTCGTGTTGCGCCCGAGAGAAACAATTCTTTGTCACTTACCCTTTGGTCTTTCCAAGATTTTTTGTCGATCCGTCGGCGCCCGAAGCTGGAAAGCTCGAGGACCCGATGTGCCGAAGCGCGAAGGTAGTGTTCTCCATTTTCAATTCGCTCCACGAGACGCGTATTGTCATCTCTCGTTCCTCGCATCCCCACCGATATCACTACTCGACGAGTTTCTTGTTCACGAAAAGAGTCTAATTTCCTTAGATTGCCTTTGAGCTTTGTGTTTCCCGCTGCTTACCGAATACAGCCGCGTTTTCCTGAAAAATGGGCAATTTATTGAAATTTGCAAGGGCCTAATATTCTTATTATTTACTCGACACGCGTGTAAACTTTCCTTCGCTATTCATCATTGAAGGCGTGCGCTCTACTATTTTGTGTGTGTATAGAGCCGCCATGTGATCGACAAGGATTGTCGTGATACTCGTAAGTTCATTTTATTCGGATATGAAATTAATAATATTGTGAAATTTCAATAGAACGTTAATAGAAATTTGTCAACGCTCGCGAATAATATGTAGATTCTCGGCGTCACTTGAGTACGCGAACGATACCTCTCCTCTTATGCTAGTTTTTTCTTTATCAGTATTATCATAAAACGACGCACTGTGCAACGCTTGTGTTCTTAACTATGCATTATATATTGTACCGCGTATAAGTTTATGCATTTCCGACGACGTCGAGCGTGAGATTTTATGAATTAAAATCAGGACATTAATGTGATTGATAAAGAATTATTGTGCTGTGTTAATGCCACACATATCATTGTAATTTTATTACTTTTGTGTTACAGGAATTACAATAGTCTCTAGAAGGTGGTCGTGGATATGAAATGTTATAAAATAAATATCAGAACGAGGGAAGAGGTACATTTGATCAGTGGATCACCACGAAAGAAATACAAAAAAGAATGATAAAAACATAATGCATCACACTGTCATGCATGACTAGTTATCATTGTGTGTTCATATCAAGTTACTTTGAATGATTTTACATGTTCAGAGAAGCTGACAATTGCAAGATCATCATAGTTCATCATTGCATATATCGCTTTACATACATATATAAATAAATATATATATATATAAAAATACAAATATATATTTACCGAGCAAGATTTTTAAATATAATTCTATGTATACAAGCGAATAGCCTTAAAGAAAAGTTACTGTAAGTTTTTGATAATTGTGGTGCCGTTTGATATAATCAAGAAGAGAAATCAAATTAGTTCCAAGAGAGGAAATAGTAACTACATAGTTTTCTCTATATTTGGTAAAAATCAGCTTTTCTAAATGATGCTCAAACAGTTACAAATACTCTTATATACCATACATAGAGTATTAAATGAGAGTCTGTTCTGACAAGATTGGTGGCACTACTAAAGTGAAATAAAAATGTTTTAAGCCCTCAAAGATAATGCACAACAGTCAGGAGAGATTATGTTCTGTGATTTCAGTGTTGTGCAAAGTTATTCGTGTTTACATACCATGTATGACTGACAAATGAGTTAACAGTAATATATTTTTCCATGGAGAAAGTAACATGTTAATGTAACCGTTTCATCGAGAATTTTGGGTAACACTCCAATTTGGAGACAATAGATACGGTGCTCATAGTTGCATAAACAGCAGTAGAACTGAGATTAACACTTTGTACCGGTAAGCAATTGTTCTATCATTTAAAATTTTAAACCCTCTAACGTATTCAAATTTCAAAGTGACTGATTCTTTTACAGATACTAAAGGTACATTTGAGGAAGTCCTAATGCTGAAAGGAAACTTATCATCGTACTTAGACCCTCATAATGAAGAAGAGTCGTCTTATGTAACTCTCAGCAATGGACCATACGGTACTTAACAATTGTTCTTCATTGCTACTATTGTATATAACAGAGAATTTTTTTTATTAATATATTTAATTTACTTTTCAGTATATGTAACTGATTCAGCCAACACGGAACCCAAGAGTGATCATGATCTTGTAGATGTATATTTTTTAACCCCTATTCTTTGTAAACATTGTAAGTATCTAATTTCAATATTAAGCATCATTTTTTTACAACACTGTACGAAGTTCGTTTGAATGACTAACATCATTTGCTTTTTCATATCTTCTTTCAGGTGAAGATTATGTTTGGGGCACCGGGAAAGTGGGGGTCAAATGCAAAGGTGAGTCATTTACAAACAACTACCAATAATTGAATATTTTAAAGAAACTTACGCGATCATTGTTCGTGTCGTGCGTAGATCCATGATGTTCACAGCAGCCATTGAACGTTTCACATTCGTATTGAATTCACACTTCGAAATCCACTCGAATCCGTTGCGTTCTCTTTAAGTCTATTGAAATTTCTTTAATATTTCGTTCTACTATGTAAATATCCATATAAAACACTACTTCGTTTTCGAATAATGCACAGAATAATCACTTTTATGCAAAAATAAAAAAAACTTAAAAAGAACGCTTGATGCCGCGTCCAACGGATCCTCTCGAATGGTTCGATACCGATCGAAAAGATCGAGATATCGAACGATACATTTTTGAAAAATTCGCGCTGGCGAATCGTGTACCGACCGCGTAGAGTAATCGCGATGGGGTCGCCCTCTTTCTACGCGAATTGCGAAACCCTGATAACACGGTGCATCGTTGTTCCCTCGATCATCGCCGAGGGCAGCACCGTAGCATAGTAACACATGCAGTCGCGGTGATTTCAAGTGGTGTACTATCGTGTCCCCCTTCACCTTACCTCGCATTCGTTTCCAGCTCAGCCGGCAGTTTCTTTTCTGAAACTTCACAACCCTCTCCTGTTCCTCTTGCTCCCCACTACCGAGCCTTGCCATCGTACGACCCAGGAGCGTATCCATCCTCCACGAACCCGGACCAATTTTTCTTAAATTTCTACGGCCATCCGAGCGTTCATTCAACCGTGACGAGTGAGTTTTTACACGCTTAATCGATACTCTTCGATATCTACAAATAACCAGATAAACATACAAAAGAATGTTTAAAAATGATTTTTAAGGGCATTCCTAATTCTTCCAGCTCCCAGCATATTTAATTACATATATTTCTAAATGATTATTTATACCTTTACCACTTATACTTCGTAAACTATTGATACTTTACACGAAGCTTGCGGGTTTCGCAGCATTACATTGTTGCTATGAGGAAATCCTCCTGCCTCGAAAATTCCGATTTAAATGAAGCCCTGTGGGACTGTAGAGCACGTCGGACTGTACACTGAAACATACTTTTCCATCGGAAATTCACGCGGAGGGGATGAAGTCAACCCTTAAAGTAGATAGCGCGCTCCAAGCGATTGCTGCACCATCGAGGGCTGTGATTGTAAAATAAATACTCTTGTATAAAGAATAGATTCCTAACCACTACCTCGTATAACAGAAAATAAGGAACTAGCCAAGCTCTCTCTAAACAAATTTCACCTCAAATACGTCGACAGAAAAAAATGCACGAACCCGATATCTTTAAGGGTAGCTTTCACTTGGTCACAGCCAAATTCTTCCAACCTATCGCGCGAATCTTTAAATTCAAGGGACATCTATTTCTCCTTATCTTCGATTCTTTCCGGCGTAAATACCTCTCGATCGAAGAGACGGCGTGCAAGTTTCCACGATTGAACTTTCCATGATAACTCTTGGAAGTTCGGTGAGCGTGTATGGCCGGATATAGACGCGGCTCGTCTAAATACGTGGAAGATACAGAATTAGCGAGCGGGGACGTAGGAAACCGGGTGGTTCGGATCGTTCCCAGCGCAAACGTGTCCACGTGCGGGCCAGATATCACGCAACCGTGCGGCCAACGAAATTACATACCTGTGTCCCGTTCGCGTTTCCGCGGCGCGGAAAGAGGAAATCCAGTTGCCGGCCGGTGTTCGCGGCCGCGGTCACAGGTAGCCGGCGCAAACCAGCGGTTTTTCACTCGTCGCCGCGGGGTCTTTCCCCCTCGCCCGCGCCGGGGGCAGAAATCTGATGATGCGAGTTGATGTAACCTCGGTTACGAGGGCTGTAACGTCAGCCTCGCACGATTTTGCGGGCGTGTTCTCAGCGGCGTGAACTCCTGGCGCGATCGAGGGGTCCCCCGTCGCTAATCCTTGAGAATCGTTGCATTCGATTACGCGGGGACGCCTAACGACGCCGTCGAACTGCACGCCTACGTGGCCGTGCTCGCGTCGTCGCATCGCGGAATCGATGATTCTCGTGACAGAAACGGGGAGAGGAAAAAAAAGGAGAGCCGGGAGAAAGAAAAAAAAGAGTTCCGCCTCGCGGCACGATATAAAACGGGTTTTCCTTTGTCCCTAAGACACACGCTCTCGGAGCCCGCGCTCTTGCATGACCTACGCCAGCGACCCGATACGTCCTTGCGACTCCGACTCGGAACGGTCGATTACGATTTCGAAAACCGACGAC